CCTACAGTAACCTTAATTATCTTATAGTTTCTGGACTTTGATTTTTCTTTTTATTATACTGCCCTTACCACTGAACAGGCGCGCTGCAAGTTGCGGGAAAACTGAACTACAAATTATGAATTACAAACGTCACGTTTGTAATTCTCCGGGGATAACTAGCGATAACACCCTCTCACACTCTCGCCCTTGCAATATTTTTAGTCGTTGATCTTCATTGCGATGCAAAATGATGCCTAGTAAAACAGTATGACGTGTCTTTCATTACGAAGGGTCATGAAGTTGCGAAATCATATCAAAAACACACAATGCTATGACCAAGCAAATCTTGTATGCAATTTCAAAATACGGCGAGATCTCGCACGGAGGTAAGTGTTTTCTTTCAAGCATGTACTTTTTGAAGCTTAAATTCGGGTTTGTCGATATAATACCAGCCTTAACCAAATAGATGATGCACAGTTATAAAATAAATCGAGACATTGGTTAGATGCACCGAACATGAGCGATCGAATGAAGGTCTGTTTCTCCTCGTGTTTATTCCTTCGAGTGGCAGTCATGTTTGTATCCTTCGTCACTGTAAGAAACATAATATTTGTATTTTTAGTGATAAGAAAAAAGAAGGCTTCTGTTTTTAGTATATTTCCTCTAACTTATCCTGCTGAGTGATCTATAAATTCCTTCCTCGTTATTTTAGGCGTTAAAAGTCGTGAACTACAACCCACGATTGACGTCATTGGTACCCTGCATTGAAGAGATGCACGCTGTGAATGTAAAAATTCTTCCTAAATTTAGCCACGAAAAATGACTTGCGAAAATCTAAACATATCTAGTTTTGCTTGAAACACGCTGTGCATCCAGGAATGAGTTCTCTTCAAAACAACCAAGAACACTGAGAAACCGTAACAAGGACTCGGTGATTTAGAATTTATTATGAACCATCAGGAAAGTCGCGTTATATTTTGGCTATTCATTCACGTGCAAAGCTTTTTACATACAACCCTTAGAAGCAGAATTCCGACCGAGATTAACATTGTAGACATTGTTAATTTTTTCCCGGCGACAAATATCAATTTCATAGTGGCGCGATTTCTGTGCCAATATATGATCTACTTTACTCGGAAAAAGAGGAACTTTGTAAAATATTATGACCTATTAAAGCTCCTCTTACATGTCAAGTGTGTGTGCGTAGTTTATCATACCACCAGAGTTAGAATTCCACTGAAGATCAGAGTTCAATTAATGTAACGCACGTGAATACCACATGTCCATGAGAACTGAGACAGAGACAGCTCTCACGCCACGTGAGACTGAGACAGCTCTCACGGCACGTGAGACTGAGACAGCTCTCACGGTACGGTGAGACTGAGACAGCCCTCACGGCACGTGAGACTGAGACAGCTCTCACGGCAGGTGAGACTGAGACAGCTCTCACGGCACATGAGACTGAGACAGAGGGGAATTTGTTTCTCTCCTCGCGACCGTTTACTCGCGCACGCTTGGCCTCGGACTTACCGAGGAACTTTCATTACTCAGCCTGAAAGCTAACCCATTCTTCAGTGAAAACAACAGAAAGTCGGTCCTTACGAATTTGTCCGCACAGTGCGCGCGTATTGAAAACAAGTTCCGGACTTGAACCGGCTTCCCAAAACTTCAAAAAAAACTGCATGAGGAAACAGATGACAATGTAGAGCATTTCCTCGAATTTGGGTTAATAAAGACATTGAGCGATCAAATCGTTCTCGCTGCAATTTAACCATACTTGAACCAACGCTTTTGTCAATTTTTTTTTTTTTAAATTATAAGGATTGTATTATTCAGTGATAGCGCTTAGTTACAGCACACCCTTAACCGAACGGCTCTTCTCGGGACATAAATTATACCGTAAACTTAAAGGTTTTTAATGAGACGCTTCGATTGTATAAAGGGCCCACATAATTTTCTCTTATAGCCTTTTTGCTGCTTTTTGAAATTATTTTTAACAAGTTTGTTATTATTGACACATTACTCGGCAATTATTGATGCATGCTTGCGAGCACACGTGGCGCTAATAATTTCTCTGACGTAAAACATTTTCCCGAAAAAGGTTTGATTTTTTTCTTTTTCGTTAATATGATTTCCAATTAAAAACATGCTTTATATGATTTGGCGATCCACACCAGGCCTAAGCAAGTATAAAACGCGAAAAACGAGAAGAATCGACCATATGATGATCACTATTCTTCGACTATCGTTTGACTTGTGAATGGACTGACAGTTCAATATAGTCGCCGTAAATTTTCTGTTATAAATATTGGCCTTGACGTTCTGGTAATCACATCAAGAAAACATCATTAGCCTCGAGAGCAATACACGTCAAAAGACTTGATACAGCGAGTGGGTGTTGATTGCAATTGGTGTGATCTTTGTACTAAAACCTTTATACAGTTGCCGTAGGATCGGCTGGTAAAACTTTTAAAATATCTCTTATCACTGACCGTGTTGTGTTCGTGATATTTAGACCTGCAAATTTGAAAAAAAAAAAATTAAAATTAAGAAATTGCTCATAAACGCTTTTCAGAGTCAATTAATTTTCATAAGCGCGTGTTTTCACCTGCACTTCGTTTTTATCGGATTTCATTCAAGCCCTTTGACCAATATTTGTATATCTGTGCTTTCCACAAGAGGTCTGAGCTTTCAAAAAATAGATTCGGTCAACGTTGCCGGTATTCTTGTGGTCTATATGACGTGAAAGAGAAAGCCACTTCTACGCAATTTGTGAGCACCAAGTAGACTGTCTATAAATATTTGAAAATCTGTTCTCCCCAGAAGAGGATTAGGGTTTCAGTGAAAAACAGATTCTTTGAAGATTGGATATTTTTGCGGTCAAAGTGAAGTCCTTTCCTACGTAGTTTGTGAGTAGTAGGTGGGTATTTCCGTCTTCGCACGTGTTACCCTCTCAGGAAACTCCTTCAGTTTCAGCACTCATTTTAGAAGCAGTAACAAATAATTTTTATTCTTTCGATTTTCTCATCACTGAAAAATTTTCCTAATCTGTTCCCCTCTATTTAAAAATTAATTTAGAACGAAATAGGAATATATATGATAAGAAACGCTAACGTGTATTATTATTAAGATATAATTGTTTTGTAATCATGAATTAATAAAATGATGATAGAATGTTAAAATATATTCTTATATGATCCCTTTCAATGTGGTTGGTGGATCTGCGGAGTTTTTTGCAAGCAAATAATGACATACGAACCAAATTGAGGAAATTTAAGACAATCAGAAACTCAGTGGACTTGTGGACTTTATTGTGATAAAAAATTTTTACGTATATCCTTAACATATCAGCTCGAACCAGGCCAAGTTATGTTTTTGTGAGCAAAGGATGTGCTTGGAATTCTAAATCGTAACCCACCTTATCCCGTCATTAATTTTTAAGGGCTAAGATGACCTGTCACGATTCCGTTGCGTTGGTCGTCACAAACAGCCTACGCCTCATCATAAGTGATTCAATCTCCGTTGAACTGGAGGCGTTTCGTGTCGCTGTTACGTCCAATAGGAGAACGTTCAGGACATCCTTTTGGGTTAAGTGACTGTTTAGCTAGAAAGTTCGTCCTATGTTTTCTTCATATATCTTCTGAATGGCATTGTTCACGTCGCCCTTTACTCCAGTCTGTTCAGTTACAACAATGAGTGCCTTACAGCAACACTTTTCAACTTATAGGTAATGTTTATCAAGCTGTAAACGAGTACATACTATAAATAAATCATTGTCAACATCATTTCCAAGTTGGTTGTACCCAGTGTGTATTTTTTATTTTTATTTTGTATGTTTTTTTTGTTTTTTTTTTTCACTAGAATTCACTCGTTTTCTCTTTTTACATTCATCCGGCCCTTGGTTACCTGAAATAAAAGCAACTAAATCCGATTACTTCATGTAAAACCGTGCCTGATGGTGTGATAAATCCATTTGCTCGATCAAAAAAAGAAATATTTCCTATAATTCTGATAATTTTAACGGAACGGTTCTAATCCCAATGATAACGATTTCACGGTTTCTACTTTATCATTAATATTTTTCAATTCAGCCCACCGTCACACACATCGAACATAAGAGTCGCTATATATGTAATTACTGTTATAAGTTCTGCGACAGCCGCATCTGAAATCATAATCTTTGAAAAATGTATCTTCAGTTTGAAAATAAACTCGAAGCCGATCATTACAGTGTTAATTTTAGCCAGTAATGATGTTGTTACCTATTGTCCTCTTCATCGTGATAACAAAGAAGCGAATATACCAGTATCATCAAAGGACGAATGAGTTTTAACATGCAAATGTAAGGCACGGTCCATTTACAATTAAAAAAAAAACAATTTTGTCATGTAAACACCAACGCCGCGAAAACCGAATTCAGTTTATTTTTCGCCCCCTTTAATTCATTTCTTTGACCTTGGAAAATAAATGAAATGTAAATATGTTCAAATATATTCAGCAAAAGCTAAGCTACAGTATTTGCAATCCAATTAAAAATACAGGCATTTTCACAGCAGTTGAAACAAGATTTTGCGCTCGTCCTTCCAACTAATGACGTCAAAGGTTGAGCTCACCACACACAGTCCGTGAAGTGATATTGACTCTGTGGCAACGAACTAGAATGTTAAAGAAAGAAACAAAAATCCCTTGAATGTTCTGGAGTGGTTGATGGTCCAGTGTTCTTTTAAACAACATTTTAGCCTTGTTTCTTCGCTGTCTGAGTTCTTTTGAAATCCAAACAATTACCTTTCGGATTGTAAACAATTTCCTAAAATAGAGGCAAGATCGTATTAGAATTCAAAAACGCTATTCTTTACTATTGACAGCCTTCAGTTTCGTACAATAGAAATAAAAGAGATCTCCTAAGACCATCAGTAAATCCCTTATTCCCCGAGCCGGAAAAAAACAACCGATTGACGTCATAGCCAGGTTGATTGACATGATTACAGACGCGATTGGGAAAATAAACCCATTATGTGTTCTTTCGCTCGTGACCCAAACATCACTAAACTATCACAAACCGTCAAGGTAAGATCGATCTGTTGGTCGTTATCGTAGCGAACTAGACCAGTTTCACAAGGTTTTCGATTCATTAATAGTCTTCTGTGTTCCAAGGTTGCTTCAGCCAATAATCTGTCGGGGACAGTTCGACATAATATTGATAGCCTCTCGAGAGTAGCATGTGTTCATGGGATTGAATTTCCCATTGCACCAGTTTTAAGCCAAGGAATTGACATTAGTAATTATTCAAGGCTGTTCACGGGTTCCACAGCTGAGCTCGTCAGTTGGACGGGGACGTTGCCGGTAGTAGCAGCAAAAATCCCCGACCTGCAAATTGGAGAAGTTGGTATTACACCTCGCTGGAGCGAAATGGTCTCAGTGTTACCTCGTATGCCTGTTGAAAGCGGCATGAATTCCGTGAACTCTGTTATTTTGCCGCAGAGGAACAGTTTTCGACCGAAGAAAAAGCTAACCAGGCTCGTAAATGGACTCAAAGCCCAGGACATTACAAATCAATACTCTTTTCCACCGCAACTGTTCATAACCTCGAAAACGAACACAAAAAAGACGCGGTTCTCTGTTCCGCAGATTATAATTGACACAGTGGAGGATGAACGGCCTTGGGAGAACATGCAAGGGCCAAGGCGAAGACTACAGAGCTACACGAGACCAGGACTAAGCTGCAATACAAACTTTCTTCACCCTGCCTACACCATGTGTGCCGCGGTTTCTGCGAATGACCCCGGCGCTCTCAAAAATATAATTCTCTCGGGGACCGTGAATATTGATCACCTAACGTCGAGCGGCGCTTCTGCACTACACGAGGCTGCTTACGACGGGAAAGTTGCTTGTGTGCATGCTTTACTTCAATGCGGAGCTGACGTGAACATTGTAGACAGTGAGGGCTGGACGCCGCTTCACGCGGCAGTGTGTGGTAGAAACAGACAGTGCGCGGAGCTGCTTATTCGACGCGGCGCGAACGTCAGAGCGAAAACTGACGATGGACTTATGCCGCTGGGAATTGCGCTGCAGCAGAAAGACAGAGACATGATCAAACTATTAACCTCGCTTTCTAATCAGACGCAAACGACGAACAGGTCGAAATCTTGCTCCTACAAACAAGCGAAGGGACTTTTTTCGACCTTCAGTGTGTAATTAATGCGTGGGAGCAAGCAACACTTTCGCAAGGACCCAAATAAACCGCCAATAACGCATATATTTAAGGCTTCCAGGAGGCAGGCAGGTATTTAAAGAAGCTGACGAAAATTCCGTTTGACGTATGCGTGTTTCCTTCGTTTCACTTTGTCGCTTCCCCTTTCAGTTGTAAATGGCTAAAACAGTGTTTAATCTTTAGTATAAATAGAAGAGAACGTGTTTCTGTCTGTCACCTTCCATTGGAGTTTACACCTTTTTTTCAAAAACGTGTTGCGGAGAGTGACTTAAATCCGGTCGTTATATAATATGCCATAGGCGAGAAGCTAAACGAATATATAATGAAAATAGCCGGCTGGCCGGTCATAAATATTTTGATAGCCTTTCAGTTAAGGTATAGTGCCGTGTGAAAATTTCATTGTGTGAATCGAGATTAGCGAATAAAGAAAATTGAACAACAAAGGTTGGTGTGCGTAGTAGCTTTTGAAAAGACATCATACTACGTTTCTCGTTTTGCGTTATTTTTTTAGGTAGATGTAGACAAGCGATTGACGTACAACGGGAAGTATATGTTTAGTATTATTCTTGCCTACAAAAATATACTATGACCAGTATCTATATATAAATATATTTTTTGGCATACTCCATCTTTATGTTTAGATTTTCGATGGCACAAAACCAATTCCAAAGAGTGACAAATGCTGATGTAGCTTTGTTGGGATTCCTTTCAAAATCGAGCTGACATTTTGAAGTGTATTTCCACTGAAGCAGCCATTAAGAAAGTTACATTTCCGACATCACAAAATTATCTCGATATACCTATCTCTTCCTTATTATTTTATACGTGCTCTCCTGTTAAAACTGGAAGGATTGCGGTGACAAAGAGCAACGATTTCCATATCAGAGTAAAGCATCAATCAAGCCATTTTCAATCATTCGCATTTTGTATTCTTTTTAATTCAAATCTCCTTAATTGCTGATTGCCAAAGATTTTCTCTTGCTCGCGCAGAGAAAATGGTAGCACATCAGCGCCTTGAATATTTTTCAATTTGTTGGTTTGGCAAAGATTGATATTCAATGAAAAGACCACATTTCTTTCCTGAGTTTTAAGTATCCTTGTCAGGTCCTTATATTAAAAACAGCGAAAATTAAATGAAGTTAATGAAAACAAATTATTTTCAAAATGTAAAAGCAGGTGTTCTAAAAAAATGTTACGTAAGGCCCCTTCCCCACACTACGCCGGAGGAATTTGAAAACAGAGCTTTATTTTTACGGTTAAGCCTACCGTCCACACTAGTCCATTATGAAAACGGAACTTTTCGAAAACGCTCTTCAAACCGGAGGAATTTGAAAACGCCGACTTTTCGTTTTCTTGTGGACGGAAAACATTTTGCCGGGAAAACGGAGCTATTCAAAAACGAAAGCGACTCGATAATCATGTGAATTTTCCTCAACCGCAAATCAAAAATGACCCGTGACTGTTGTTGTGTTTTAAAAATCCTCCGGCGAAGTGCCAGTGGACGGAAAACATTTGATGCGTTTTCCGCAGAGTGAAACCTCCGTTTTCAAATTTCTCCGGCGCAGCTGTGTGGACGGAGCCCGAACTTGAACAGAAATACTTCATGCCCGATGGGAAAGTGAAAAGGTTCACGATCTCGTGGGCTAAATTCGGCTACATATCGAGTTTACGAGTGGCCTTTAACCTTACAAGACGCCTTCTTGGCCAAAATATTGTTTGGACACGTTCTGTTTCAGTCATTAGATTCCTCCACAAAGTTTAAAATAGCATAGTGCGTGTTTAGAAATAACGAAACTGTGCCTGGTCAGCTAATTACCAGAAGATTATCGCAACTGATGATCGAGGCCTGACATTTTTAGAGTTTACTCAGTCTTCGCTGGAACGTGATCAAAAGAGCCAGGTGTTTTCGAAATGTTTGGCATAAAAACATGTTTTGAGCCTTTTAATACAGAAACTGATAATTAGTTGGTTTTTACCCCACTTCAACCTTTTTATGGCTGTCTTTCAAAACAAATGACTGTTCCAAGTACGGATCCGGTATAACGGCTGTCAGTGTGGCGTTAATTCAAGTTGGAAAATCCTACGACTTCTGTAATTGACAGATATTCCATTAAATAACGAAGGTTTCTCAGTGTTAGTGACAAATATGTTGTTAATTCAGTGGGATGTACAAGATTCAATTTTGTCCGTACGTGTGCACACGTACCGTGATTCAAGTGATTCGTGTTTCATAACTTCTGCTTATGCACACGTTCAAGTGACTACGTGTTTCATAACTTCTGCTCCTGTACGTAACGAGCCTAGGGGCGCAATTCTGTTTTCGAAAAGTTTCAGTTCTTTGAAAATAAACAGTGAAGCGTAGTTGCTGTGTGCGAATGACGCAGGCTTGCCGTGTGACAGACAAAGAGGAACACTTTCAAAAAGGGAACACTTGGAAATTAACCGTTCAAGTTTGTTTGAGCGGAACCAACCAGAATCGTTCATTCATTGCAACGCGGCATTCTAATTAAGTCAGGCTGGGAGCCTGACAATCTCCCAAGTGAACGATACCGTCAATTTCAGTAGTAACTGAAAGTCCCAAAAGAGCTTTGGTCAGCTGGCGCAAGAGAACAAACGGAACTTTGACCGTTGCCAGGGATTAATTAACTCTTTATTTTCTAGTTTGAGCCGGTAAACGGCGTAAACCACACAAGTGTTGTTTTGGTTAGGCTGTGACGTTAATACTAAAACATGTAAAACGACAAGGAACATTTGATTAGTGCTACCTTCCTTCCTCCAAGGATCCTTTCAATTTATTGCACCGATAACTCCTTTTGAACGCCTAAACAAACAAAACAACAATGCCTAACGAGGAACGACGGAACAACTCAGTACTCTTTGAGACATGCTTTGAGGAAATACACCCTCAGTTCTATCGACATCCGCTGTGTTTTATGATCGCTAATATTGTTTCAAGAAATAAACATTTGTTGGTTTGTTTACTCGTTTATATATTATTTATCTACTAAACATTTCATTCTGGCCAACCACGAAGTAATAGTTATTCAAGACAATCTTCATCGTGTGCAAATTGTTTCATCACGCAGCAAGTTAACGGCCGGCCAAGCTGGTGAAATCAACTGATTGTTAGGGTCCGTTCACACTACGTCCTTCTAATAAGACAAATACTTGAGTGAATCCCATGGCAAGTCGAGATGGAGCTTAGTNTTTTTTTTTCACTAGAATTCACTCGTTTTCTCTTTTTACATTCATCCGGCCCTTGGTTACCTGAAATAAAAGCAACTAAATCCGATTACTTCATGTAAAACCGTGCCTGATGGTGTGATAAATCCATTTGCTCGATCAAAAAAAGAAATATTTCCTATAATTCTGATAATTTTAACGGAACGGTTCTAATCCCAATGATAACGATTTCACGGTTTCTACTTTATCATTAATATTTTTCAATTCAGCCCACCGTCACACACATCGAACATAAGAGTCGCTATATATGTAATTACTGTTATAAGTTCTGCGACAGCCGCATCTGAAATCATAATCTTTGAAAAATGTATCTTCAGTTTGAAAATAAACTCGAAGCCGATCATTACAGTGTTAATTTTAGCCAGTAATGATGTTGTTACCTATTGTCCTCTTCATCGTGATAACAAAGAAGCGAATATACCAGTATCATCAAAGGACGAATGAGTTTTAACATGCAAATGTAAGGCACGGTCCATTTACAATTAAAAAAAAAACAATTTTGTCATGTAAACACCAACGCCGCGAAAACCGAATTCAGTTTATTTTTCGCCCCCTTTAATTCATTTCTTTGACCTTGGAAAATAAATGAAATGTAAATATGTTCAAATATATTCAGCAAAAGCTAAGCTACAGTATTTGCAATCCAATTAAAAATACAGGCATTTTCACAGCAGTTGAAACAAGATTTTGCGCTCGTCCTTCCAACTAATGACGTCAAAGGTTGAGCTCACCACACACAGTCCGTGAAGTGATATTGACTCTGTGGCAACGAACTAGAATGTTAAAGAAAGAAACAAAAATCCCTTGAATGTTCTGGAGTGGTTGATGGTCCAGTGTTCTTTTAAACAACATTTTAGCCTTGTTTCTTCGCTGTCTGAGTTCTTTTGAAATCCAAACAATTACCTTTCGGATTGTAAACAATTTCCTAAAATAGAGGCAAGATCGTATTAGAATTCAAAAACGCTATTCTTTACTATTGACAGCCTTCAGTTTCGTACAATAGAAATAAAAGAGATCTCCTAAGACCATCAGTAAATCCCTTATTCCCCGAGCCGGAAAAAAACAACCGATTGACGTCATAGCCAGGTTGATTGACATGATTACAGACGCGATTGGGAAAATAAACCCATTATGTGTTCTTTCGCTCGTGACCCAAACATCACTAAACTATCACAAACCGTCAAGGTAAGATCGATCTGTTGGTCGTTATCGTAGCGAACTAGACCAGTTTCACAAGGTTTTCGATTCATTAATAGTCTTCTGTGTTCCAAGGTTGCTTCAGCCAATAATCTGTCGGGGACAGTTCGACATAATATTGATAGCCTCTCGAGAGTAGCATGTGTTCATGGGATTGAATTTCCCATTGCACCAGTTTTAAGCCAAGGAATTGACATTAGTAATTATTCAAGGCTGTTCACGGGTTCCACAGCTGAGCTCGTCAGTTGGACGGGGACGTTGCCGGTAGTAGCAGCAAAAATCCCCGACCTGCAAATTGGAGAAGTTGGTATTACACCTCGCTGGAGCGAAATGGTCTCAGTGTTACCTCGTATGCCTGTTGAAAGCGGCATGAATTCCGTGAACTCTGTTATTTTGCCGCAGAGGAACAGTTTTCGACCGAAGAAAAAGCTAACCAGGCTCGTAAATGGACTCAAAGCCCAGGACATTACAAATCAATACTCTTTTCCACCGCAACTGTTCATAACCTCGAAAACGAACACAAAAAAGACGCGGTTCTCTGTTCCGCAGATTATAATTGACACAGTGGAGGATGAACGGCCTTGGGAGAACATGCAAGGGCCAAGGCGAAGACTACAGAGCTACACGAGACCAGGACTAAGCTGCAATACAAACTTTCTTCACCCTGCCTACACCATGTGTGCCGCGGTTTCTGCGAATGACCCCGGCGCTCTCAAAAATATAATTCTCTCGGGGACCGTGAATATTGATCACCTAACGTCGAGCGGCGCTTCTGCACTACACGAGGCTGCTTACGACGGGAAAGTTGCTTGTGTGCATGCTTTACTTCAATGCGGAGCTGACGTGAACATTGTAGACAGTGAGGGCTGGACGCCGCTTCACGCGGCAGTGTGTGGTAGAAACAGACAGTGCGCGGAGCTGCTTATTCGACGCGGCGCGAACGTCAGAGCGAAAACTGACGATGGACTTATGCCGCTGGGAATTGCGCTGCAGCAGAAAGACAGAGACATGATCAAACTATTAACCTCGCTTTCTAATCAGACGCAAACGACGAACAGGTCGAAATCTTGCTCCTACAAACAAGCGAAGGGACTTTTTTCGACCTTCAGTGTGTAATTAATGCGTGGGAGCAAGCAACACTTTCGCAAGGACCCAAATAAACCGCCAATAACGCATATATTTAAGGCTTCCAGGAGGCAGGCAGGTATTTAAAGAAGCTGACGAAAATTCCGTTTGACGTATGCGTGTTTCCTTCGTTTCACTTTGTCGCTTCCCCTTTCAGTTGTAAATGGCTAAAACAGTGTTTAATCTTTAGTATAAATAGAAGAGAACGTGTTTCTGTCTGTCACCTTCCATTGGAGTTTACACCTTTTTTTCAAAAACGTGTTGCGGAGAGTGACTTAAATCCGGTCGTTATATAATATGCCATAGGCGAGAAGCTAAACGAATATATAATGAAAATAGCCGGCTGGCCGGTCATAAATATTTTGATAGCCTTTCAGTTAAGGTATAGTGCCGTGTGAAAATTTCATTGTGTGAATCGAGATTAGCGAATAAAGAAAATTGAACAACAAAGGTTGGTGTGCGTAGTAGCTTTTGAAAAGACATCATACTACGTTTCTCGTTTTGCGTTATTTTTTTAGGTAGATGTAGACAAGCGATTGACGTACAACGGGAAGTATATGTTTAGTATTATTCTTGCCTACAAAAATATACTATGACCAGTATCTATATATAAATATATTTTTTGGCATACTCCATCTTTATGTTTAGATTTTCGATGGCACAAAACCAATTCCAAAGAGTGACAAATGCTGATGTAGCTTTGTTGGGATTCCTTTCAAAATCGAGCTGACATTTTGAAGTGTATTTCCACTGAAGCAGCCATTAAGAAAGTTACATTTCCGACATCACAAAATTATCTCGATATACCTATCTCTTCCTTATTATTTTATACGTGCTCTCCTGTTAAAACTGGAAGGATTGCGGTGACAAAGAGCAACGATTTCCATATCAGAGTAAAGCATCAATCAAGCCATTTTCAATCATTCGCATTTTGTATTCTTTTTAATTCAAATCTCCTTAATTGCTGATTGCCAAAGATTTTCTCTTGCTCGCGCAGAGAAAATGGTAGCACATCAGCGCCTTGAATATTTTTCAATTTGTTGGTTTGGCAAAGATTGATATTCAATGAAAAGACCACATTTCTTTCCTGAGTTTTAAGTATCCTTGTCAGGTCCTTATATTAAAAACAGCGAAAATTAAATGAAGTTAATGAAAACAAATTTATTTTCAAAATGTAAAAGCAGGTGTTCTAAAAAAATGTTACGTAAGGCCCCTTCCCCACACTACGCCGGAGGAATTTGAAAACAGAGCTTTATTTTTACGGTTAAGCCTACCGTCCACACTAGTCCATTATGAAAACGGAACTTTTCGAAAACGCTCTTCAAACCGGAGGAATTTGAAAACGCCGACTTTTCGTTTTCTTGTGGACGGAAAACATTTTGCCGGGAAAACGGAGCTATTCAAAAACGAAAGCGACTCGATAATCATGTGAATTTTCCTCAACCGCAAATCAAAAATGACCCGTGACTGTTGTTGTGTTTTAAAGATCCTCCGGCGAAGTGCCAGTGGACGGAAAACATTTGATGCGTTTTCCGCAGAGTGAAACCTCCGTTTTCAAATTTCTCCGGCGCAGCTGTGTGGACGGAGCCCGAACTTGAACAGAAATACTTCATGCCCGATGGGAAAGTGAAAAGGTTCACGATCTCGTGGGCTAAATTCGGCTACATATCGAGTTTACGAGTGGCCTTTAACCTTACAAGACGCCTTCTTGGCCAAAATATTGTTTGGACACGTTCTGTTTCAGTCATTAGATTCCTCCACAAAGTTTAAAATAGCATAGTGCGTGTTTAGAAATAACGAAACTGTGCCTGGTCAGCTAATTACCAGAAGATTATCGCAACTGATGATCGAGGCCTGACATTTTTAGAGTTTACTCAGTCTTCGCTGGAACGTGATCAAAAGAGCCAGGTGTTTTCGAAATGTTTGGCATAAAAACATGTTTTGAGCCTTTTAATACAGAAACTGATAATTAGTTGGTTTTTACCCCACTTCAACCTTTTTATGGCTGTCTTTCAAAACAAATGACTGTTCCAAGTACGGATCCGGTATAACGGCTGTCAGTGTGGCGTTAATTCAAGTTGGAAAATCCTACGACTTCTGTAATTGACAGATATTCCATTAAATAACGAAGGTTTCTCAGTGTTAGTGACAAATATGTTGTTAATTCAGTGGGATGTACAAGATTCAATTTTGTCCGTACGTGTGCACACGTACCGTGATTCAAGTGATTCGTGTTTCATAACTTCTGCTTATGCACACGTTCAAGTGACTACGTGTTTCATAACTTCTGCTCCTGTACGTAACGAGCCTAGGGGCGCAATTCTGTTTTCGAAAAGTTTCAGTTCTTTGAAAATAAACAGTGAAGCGTAGTTGCTGTGTGCGAATGACGCAGGCTTGCCGTGTGACAGACAAAGAGGAACACTTTCAAAAAGGGAACACTTGGAAATTAACCGTTCAAGTTTGTTTGAGCGGAACCAACCAGAATCGTTCATTCATTGCAACGCGGCATTCTAATTAAGTCAGGCTGGGAGCCTGACAATCTCCCAAGTGAACGATACCGTCAATTTCAGTAGTAACTGAAAGTCCCAAAAGAGCTTTGGTCAGCTGGCGCAAGAGAACAAACGGAACTTTGACCGTTGCCAGGGATTAATTAACTCTTTATTTTCTAGTTTGAGCCGGTAAACGGCGTAAACCACACAAGTGTTGTTTTGGTTAGGCTGTGACGTTAATACTAAAACATGTAAAACGACAAGGAACATTTGATTAGTGCTACCTTCCTTCCTCCAAGGATCCTTTCAATTTATTGCACCGATAACTCCTTTTGAACGCCTAAACAAACAAAACAACAATGCCTAACGAGGAACGACGGAACAACTCAGTACTCTTTGAGACATGCTTTGAGGAAATACACCCTCAGTTCTATCGACATCCGCTGTGTTTTATGATCGCTAATATTGTTTCAAGAAATAAACATTTGTTGGTTTGTTTACTCGTTTATATATTATTTATCTACTAAACATTTCATTCTGGCCAACCACGAAGTAATAGTTATTCAAGACAATCTTCATCGTGTGCAAATTGTTTCATCACGCAGCAAGTTAACGGCCGGCCAAGCTGGTGAAATCAACTGATTGTTAGGGTCCGTTCACACTACGTCCTTCTAATAAGACAAATACTTGAGTGAATCCCATGGCAAGTCGAGATGGAGCTTAGTGTTCCAGGTTGAAGCCTATAACTCCTTCATTTTTTTTTTACAACAGCCTTCCTGCACAGGCAATACTTTACCTTATACCTTAGCAACTGCACGTTTCTTGAGCTATTTATAACGCTCACAGTTGACCCGAGAGCAGGTCAACCATGATTACAAGTATAGCTTGAGGCGACGGTTTTCTGGAAGAGACAAACTTTGCGCAATCACATATTATACCAATTAAGATCCTACGCAATCATCTGATAATTATAACACATCCATGACATTTAATCATTCAATAATTGAAGACATGATTGATCACCGCAGTTACACAACTTAAGCAGTTGTGAAATTAACGCCTGAAAAAAATTCAGGCTTGAACGGGATTAGAACTCATGACCTCTGCGTTGCCGGTGGAGTGCTCTAAATTGAGCTATCAAGCCAACTGGGAAGTGGTCACGTTGTGAGTTCGTACCCCGTAGACGGTGAAGAATGCACGCGAATATTTGATCTTTCATATATTCACTTGTAATCATTTAATAAGATGGCTTTTTTGGCCTCCAAAAATCGTTTATTCAGTAAACCATGTGAACCGTAAATTTAAAATCAACCGTGGTAAAACACAGACGAATTAAAGATCAAGGGAGGGCTGGGTAGAAGAGCGAAAATGCAATCAACCTTATCACCGGAAAGGTTTGTTTCGAACGTGTTTCTACCATGTTTAATTAAGAGGGAGCCCTTCATTCTTATCACTTCTCTGTACAGGAATGCACTTTACTCAAGGGCTTTCAAAAAGGAATTTTACAATCGGTGAAAGGCAACTTTGATAGTTGAAGACGGCATAAAATTCTGCAAATTTTCTCAAGCGTTCGCACTGAAACCTTTGACGTTCCGTAATACATGAAGAATACTGTTTAAATTTGTC